ATGTTGAAGGGGAAGCATAAGATTAATGAGTGCACTCTGTCAAGGCTGCCTTTCACTATCTCATACACCACTAAGCGAGAGGTTCAGGTTGGTGGGTCGTCTTTTGCTTAGAACTCAACATCCCTGAGATAACTTCCTCATCGCTCAGTGAGACGATAGACATATGTATAGTCTAGTCTACTTCGCTGCGGAGGAAGGTTTGTATCAGGCGGGATGAGTTTGGCGCGGTACCGAACTCTTTTGCCATCAGCTTTTGAAGCGAGCAAGACAGTTCGTTCCATTCGTATCACTCACTTTCTAGCTATTGCTGCATCTAAGTGCTCCAACAGCTGGCAGACAAGGGTCTGGCACCGTGGCACATTCATACTACCAACGCCCCTTCATCGGCAGCGACGTAGTGTATATCAGCTATAATAATGAGAAATGCTTAATAATTGTAACACCGTACCGAATTCATTTTGTCGACCTGTCAAGACTGGATCAGCGGATGCAAAAATGTGAAGCGTGTTGGTTTCTGCACACTTCCAGGGACGAAGGACACCGCTCGGACTACATATGTGCAAACGGACGTGTGGTTATTGCAACTGGTAACCAAAGAATGCAGTAAATGTTTCACGATCCAATTTGGAACTATGCAGGATAGTCCATACGGACACTTTAAGCGAAGGCCAATGTGAAACCATAAAACCCACTATGCAGAAAAATATGAAAAAAATGGAAAAAAGATAAAAAAGAAAAAATAAAATACGGTACAAGCAATGGTTTGTCAGTAGGAAGAATACAACACCAATGATACACCTCTCATTTGAAGTAGAAATAAAACGCTTCTCTTAATCCTGGCCGAGCAGTGTACAGGCAAAACGTCATGTGCAAATACTTCTGCTAGCTAATTGCCAGACGAGTTTGCAAGGATTTATGGGCAATGATCTGCGGCGAGGACTACTGGCAGTTGAAGACTCGGCTGGTTCGAATGAGTTGCACTCCCCATCAGCTTTGGTCCTCCCAAGAAGATGAAAGGAGCAATGAGAGGCGGCAACCAGTATGATGACAAGATGGGATTGCGCAGCTGTCTACTGATTCTAAGTTACTGCAGCCAGCCAGCCCCGGCCACCGGAATTATAAAAGAGTAATGTGGGGACTAAAGATTTGAATAGGTCAATAGCCCTACAGCAATTTATAATTTCAGAGTTATTGTTCTTTATGAGCAGCTCCGGTGTGTTGCATGTATGTCGATTACAAAGGATAAGGATAAAGTCTTCGCCGTTGATCAATAACTTTTTGGGATGGGACACGCATTGTACTTCAATTCAGAATCGCAGTGGCTTATTGAATGCGATTCAACAGTGTTTTGCAGGGAAAGCAGAAATACAATACAGCGTTCTATTCTCCCAAATGAATCTGATACCAGTTTAGTGGAGGGTAGAAGGCTTGGTCGGTCTGAGCGAGAACCGATCCCCGATTTCCCCCCTACTACGCGTATGATAAGCGTGCCACGTGCCGCTACACCACATCCGCAACATGATATATCGATACGAGGATAGTATACGAGTATTCTCCGCTATTGACGTGTCATGCAACACGTCACCAGCTGCTCATAATTGTCCATAACGTTGGAATTATTAACTGCTGTAATATTGAGGCGTTTCTGTGTTCTCACGGCAAATGCAGGCGTGCGCTTTTGAAACGTGTCGGCCGCCGTGAATTTCCGCGCGGTAGCCGTAATTCAAATCGCACTGAAACTCGTCCGTTGGGAGGCAGGAACCTACGCAGTGGAGTTGTATCTTCACTGCTTTCTACCCCCTTACCTCGCTCGACACCGTTTCGAGTCGCAATAGCTCGTAGAGCTATAGAAACTTCTACAAATACAAATAGACACATACGCAAATAAGTAAATGAATGAATAGATAAATGAATATCAGTCGGTGTCTATGCCATCTGTCGTGACTTTTGTACGACTCTTCAAAGGGTCGCGTTTATGGCGGGCGCGGCGGTCCTGGCGCGCTTGGCAGATGGAATATTCGAGAAGTCGCAGGGATACAGAATCGACTCCGGCTTGCCTCTCAGTCTACGTCCTGTTCCACCCCGACTGATCGCTCCGCTCTGATCTTCGTCCAGCCGTCATTCATCGCTCGTCGCCGATTGCTGACAACGTCCGAGGAGTCGTACAACGCGAAGAAGACGAATCGCTTTAGGGCCGCCGAAGTCCCAGGTGACCACTAGGAGCGGAGGGGCATCCGAACCTCCTGGACAGCCAGAGGGGAGGATGCTTTCAATGCCTCTTAGTGGGCTGTTGCCTCGTAGCCCTTAGGTTGTAGGCAGGGTTCGTTGCGTAGGTTAGGGCCGTACCTTTATCTCTTGTAGTAGCTATTTTCTTGTTCTTATTTGTTCATAGTTTATCATCGTTATTAGAGAGGTAAATAACTTTAATGATTTGGTGTTTTGTAGTTCACCAAGAGTGATTTGACCACGACATTCTTGAACATTTATCTGTCACAGTTATTGATTGATATGCCGGTTGTTGGTTGAGTATATGTGTATGGCGTAGTAGTTTGGTCGACCAAGGGAGCAAGTGTACTGGGCTGCGTGGATAGGGCGTAGGTAAGAGGGTTCAATGTCAAGTATGTGACCGTTTGGCGCTAACCACGTAGGGGCAGTAAGGGCCTACTGGTTGCGGACAGCAACACCGCACCCGCGTGGCAACACCGTGGGCGAGCACAGGCAAGCGCTCTGTAAGTCCCCTACACGTACTCGCGCCGAGCGCGACTCTTTCCCCGAGGTGAACCCCGGTGCCTAGATGGCATTGGCGGAGAGATTAAGTCGCCCGCGGCGCGACACCATCTAATTCTTACCAACTACTGGCTGTTCCTGTTTCAGCCTTTCTCAAACAAGGAATATTTACTTTATTTCACATATAATCAGACTTTTAACTATTACTTGCTCCCGTTATATTGAAATAACACTGAGGCAAAGCATGCTTATTACATTACAGTATAACATCTCCATATTAGTGAGACTTTTTGTATTTATACATGATGATCACTCGTTCCAAGCTGTCGCTGACGATGATGGCTCTTGGAGGTAGAAACCCCAGTAAAAGACGTTGAACGCAAGGAATGACTGAAAAAATATTCCATCGCTTCAATCAATGGCAACGAGTACACGTAAAGGTGAAGTGCTAATCGGAGATGCTTTTCTTCTTTCCCTATTTCCTTCCTGCTCCTTTTCCTTGTTCTCGCACTGGTAGGAAACTCAAGGGCGGGCTTAGAAAATAATTCAGTTACCCTTAGCAATACAATGGGTTCAGGGACCATGGGCAACCAGTAATGATCTTGGCTCTTATGGATTCTTGCTATGGATCCTAGAATTAGTAGAAAAGAGGAGTGTGTGAGCACAACTCATGGCTTCGCCCTTTCTAAGCTTCTGTAAGTTTTGGTCGAGGAGGTTGATATTGGTAGGGACCGTATCTTGGCGTTATAGGAGGAGTCTAGAAGGATCCGGTTGTGTCAGTTACCGGATCACATAGGGGGAGCATGAGCAGAAAAGAGTGCAGGGTTAACGGAAAAGCGGTCGATGCAACTCTCACCCCTCCCTCTCTGAATCGGAAAGCAATATACCAACTCCAGGCCAATCAAGCCCTCTACCTCGTCACAGTAAGTTGGTACCAGATTCGTCTGAGATGATAAGAGCACTGACTTGTACATCGGCTGGCCCCGCAAGTCATTGTATAGGCCACATCGCATTCAATAAGCCACTACGATTCTGAATGGAAGTAGAATGCGTGCCGCATCCCACAAAGGGATTGATCAACGGCGAAGTTTTATCCTTTATCCTTAATTGGGAAAGTTGAATGCGAGTTGGCCCTGTTTGGCAGGCTTCGACCAACCGATGTACAACTCAGCATAAGGGAATGCTTGAGGCCTCCATTGGAACTCTTGAGTGGAGACCTAGATGTACATCAGATAGAGCTCGGAATGCTGTACGGAATATGGACCAGATTAAAAAGTGCTAGCTGAATTTCAGTGATCCAGACCGAGGTTCTTTTCGTCGAAAAGGATGTGACTGTTCGCGTTCAGGGGGGGGGGTCGAATAATTATCTTCCAATGAAACGAGTTTCTGCAAGTTTGATAGTCCGGAATGCGTGGCATGTTCAAGGAGGAATATGACCCAAATCCGTATAGATCGAGTAAGTCATATATCTTGAGTACTTGATTATCAGTACATCATTGACCCTCACCAGATTCGTCTGGCGGCCCGTAACACTGTTCGACTTGTACAGTCGTCATCCTTGCACTTGATAGTCAATGTCAGTGCGGCTGCGTGCGGCGCGGTCGTCAGCACCCGTACTGCACCAATCGTTGAACCAGAGAGTGACATTACTGTATTATATCCTTCGTGTTATACTCGTTTTTCTATCCTTCTTTGTCGATACGCGTTTCAAAAGAAAAGGCTGCACGAAGGCTTCAAACCAGTGTGCCGCCTCCTTCCTCGCCGACACGCCCCTCATTTCAAGTGCAAGGATGCACGGACTGCCTAGCCTAGGTCTCCACTCAAATTCCATGTTGAAGCTTCAAACATTCCTTCGTCAGTTTTTATATTGTATTTCCCAGACCAGTCGGATAGCTGGAAGATGGAGGGCCTAGCTGAGCCCAGCTGAAGCAGATCCGAGGTCTCACCTTCAGGGCAGATGTAAGTGAATGCTCCGTGACCCTGCAGATAGGTAACCACGGCACTTTAAAGAGCATTTGCACGATGGCTTTCCGATTTACGCCTAAAATGCTAGTAGGGCGCTGTATAGTGGGGAATGGCGAAAGAACGGAGTGAAACGGTCAAAATCCGGCGAAGAAGAAAGCCTCCGTTCTCAGTGACTTGTAAATCGATTTCGGACGAGTTTCCCATAGCATCTTGCCAATCACCGCTACCGAAAATACGGCTGCATATGTGTACCATATATGCATGCAGCATCACGGCCGCTTCATACCAATCCCTTCGCTTCATAATTTTGCTTAGGAAAATTGAATGAATCGACGCCGTCAGAACGATTCCATTTCGTGGGCGGGCGGGCAAGGAAGGCGTTTGGGACGTAAAGTTGTTGCTCAATAGGGCGTTATAGAGGTACCCTCCTTGGGAAAGGCTTCACGCAGCGCCTGTCCGAGGTCACGGAATTCTGTTAAGCCAGTTGTACAAATCCTACACCTGTATAGCGATTTATCGTGCCAACTGCCTTTAAAATCACAGGCGAGGCCTAGATGCCACGCAGCACTTACTACTCGCACTTTCGCAATAATGCCTCTTGATATGTTGGAATACAGACTCTTTAATGTTGTGAACTCACTGTAATGGAGAAAGTCAAAAAGGACTCACCGTGGGAAATGCAAAAAATGATATTCGATCGACTTGATTTCCGAAGTCGAGGAGCCGTCGTTTCTTCTTCAAATAGTGCAATCGTCGCCGAGCAGCGATCTCGCGATCAAGCGAGGGCGCGTCAGAAGAGATCCTACCAGAGGTCATCGATGCGGTCTAAAAACAAAAGTTTGAGAAGTAATGGAGAGTTCGAGCGGGGAAAAAGAACATGTCGAATGCAAAAGGTAGGTATTGATCGAAAATTCCGAAGAAAAATGGGGACAAAAAGCCGCGAATGAAGTGCGTGAAAACACGTGTCGGTGCCGCGCGCCGCAACAGTCATAAGTCTTCGAATTGGTGGGCGTGGACTGCGACGTCGCGTCAGCAAAAGACGAGGTTTAAGTGAATGTTTCCAAGTGTTAGGTCGCCACAACAGATGGCCATAACCAGAAACGACCGCAAATACGTAGTCTACATTGAGTCCGTCACTCCATCGACAAGTCAACCATTGGGAAAACGTCACGTCGCGCGCGACAAATCACGATTGTCTTGGCCGCCTTCCCACGAATTAACCGTTGCGGTGCCTAGCGCGACGAAGCGTGGTATCGGGTCTTTACAAAGTCGCACTCAATATGATCACTTCATGTTCGCAGCGGTGGCCGTTTACACGAAGACAAAAGCTGCACACTCTTCAAATGAAGTCTAGAATTTTACAGGTGGATAGGATCTGCCTTTTAGCTCGGTATTTTGAATGACTCGCTGCGAAAGTGTATGTATACTAGAATTCAGCCCTGGGTTACGAAGGTAATAGAACTCTGAGAATTCCAAGAGCTCTAATACTCATGTTTTTGACCTTCACGGTCACTGAGTCACGAACGTCATCAGTATTGCGTCGTCCTATTCGTTCCGGGGTAGTTTCATCCTGTCCTTCGCCAAACGGCATAATATTCTTCATTAAGGCCATCATGGTATTCACTGCATTTCCAGATCGGCTTGATTTCAGTAGCAGTTTCTTGTCCTGAAACTATTGGTTGAAGAACAACTATAGCTCTCGAGAGTTACAATGTTACCTGATAGGCGACGAAAGCCAGTTCAAGAAGTGAAGCAAAAATGAAGGCAACACATGTGAACATCCAGATGTCGATCGCTTTAATGTAGGAAACAGGCGGCAGTGAGCGTATAATGTTACCAAACTGGAAAAGCAAGAAATGGTCGCTTCTTGAAGTTAGCAGGAAAAATGACTAAAATTACCTGAAAAGTGAGAGACATGAGTGAATTAACTCCAAGTACAATCCTTGCTGGTAAGGCTTTTGAGTCAATGCAAAAGGCAATCCATGAGATGAACACAGATATGTACGTGGGAAAATACATCTAAAAGTTACGACTAAAAAATTGAAAATAAAATGCGCTGCTGAAATATAAACATTTCAACCTCTGCAAAAATGCTAAATAGAAAATTGTGTGCCCATTTGCTTGACCTTAGAAATGTAGTCCTGATAACTCACTGACGGAAAGCTGCTCACTGTCGGATTTTAGGGGCGTAGGAAAGGAATCAGCGACCGGAACGCTATTTGAAGCTTTTAAATCTTTATGGAAGTCTTCAATCTGAGGTACTCCCCAATTTCTTATTGAAAACACGCTTGAAACATATTTCTCAGTTACTAGTTAATATGTGCTGCTTTTATTTCTTCTTATTTCTCAGTTTCGTTTCTCGAAATATAGAAACCTTTTTCTGAATGGCACTGGACAAGTATTTTTAGATGAGTTTCCCGTTGGCATCGTGCCAATCGCTACGGTAGATACGGCTGTGGGTATGCACTCACATATCCATGCAGCACCGCAGCCGCTTCATATCAATCCCTTCGCTTCATATTTTACTTCGCAAATGAAGCAATACGAGCATCAGGTACGGTCGTCCATTTGTGGGCGCGGGGCGGTGTGGGCGTCAGAGCGGTATGTTGCAGCTTGATGGGCGCTATAGGAGTACCTTTTTCGGAAAACGCGCCACGCAAAGCCCGCTCAGGAGCGCCGAAATCTGTCCCGCTGGACGCATTAATCCTCGTCTTGGGGATTTATCAATCCACATGCCTTCGAATGATCTCTATGCCTTCGAATGATGATCTGTATCTCGGGCGATTGAAGACAGACCCCGCGCTCAACCGTTATTTCTATAAGTAAAGAAACCAGGTTCCCTTCATTTTGGTACTCTTCTTGTGGTGCCCTGAAAATAGTGCCTGTGTTATTTTGAGAACAGTTTATTTTGAGGCATGTTCCTACGGTGTTTTGCTGGTCACGTGCGTTCCACATCAGTTGACGCATTCAACCACTTCATTGAATTTCCTTCGCCTTTACGTAGATTCCTCCTCCTACGCTATTTAAATCAACTTCTAGATATCAAGAATGATACAAAGTAGTGGAAAACATCATGGGTGATTTTGCTTGGGTGTTGCGATTTGACTGTTAGTTACAATGGCAGGCACAGCTAGGGACACTTGCTTTTCTTTTCGTAGCGAGTGAACTTCATCGAACTTTCATAGAGATAGACCTCATGTTCAATTGGAGGAGCTTCCGAATCAGAGTGATATGAAGCATCTTCATGCTTTGGTTAACGGAGAAGGTGCGTATAGGTTGATATTCAGTGAGTTAGGAATATTTCATTTCAAATCTAATCACTTCATTTCAAATCTATGTATATCCCTTCCTCCTCAGTTGATGATGACATGGTCTGAGATATTCGACGACATCGGATAGCTGACTGAATATAGCACTTTTACTTGGAGGTTATTGGGAGGAAGGACGTGTATGAGAAGTGTACCTCATTCGCGGTGATTCTTTCTGAATCCAACTACCCGGTTACGGTTACAGGGATCTTGTCAGCCCGGACATGCTCTCCCTGCGAGCGTCGAGAAGTATTAGTTTCTGATTCTCGATGCTTGAACATGAGGTAACATGACATGCTTGTAGAACATTCTAAGAGCTTCCCTGCAAGAGATGTGTGAGGGCGCCTGCTCTTTCCTGGGTCTAATTACGATGTTAGCTTCACAGAAGCATCTTCGGGTCATCATAATGTATCGGTGGCCCCACAGCAATGGAGCCCGGCAGCTGTCCGCAACATCGACTGTGCATTGGCGGAGGACACCAGTACCATCACTACCGGCCTTTGGTTCGCTCGCTTCGCGAAAAGAGACACGACCCTTGAAGACAAACCTTCGTCGAGATGCCCTCACGAAGTGGAAAACTCCGCCGTTCTCGGAACTGTCAAAGAGGATGTGGAAGATACCACTTGAAGACTTGCGACAAGACTCGGATGTACCTAACTGATAGTAGTCCACCGCCTGTAAGCCCTTGGCTACCAAAAAGTACTGGCTCGATGCTCATACCTCGACCAATGGCACGCTGTGCACCCGGTTACCCCTTGGTCTATCTCCCCTTCTCCGCCCTCGCCAAAAGGAGTTTCTAAGAAACTGCTCAGTGGAGATGGGATATGGGAGCCTCTGTGATTTCGACCCACACAGTAGCGTATGTCTCTCTCAAGGAGGATATCCATTCTATGTAGCAGTCCAAACCGGGCATGTGTTCCGAGAAGGTCCTTCTGTGCTGCTCCTGGGACGCGAGGAATGCCGCAGAACGGGCTGCTGTGTAAGAACAGACGGTCACCGCCACCATTTGTGTCGCTCAGCTCCTGAAACCGGTAGAAAATGTTGGAGAAAAGTGACCGCAGACTTGGGGAGATTTCGTTCGAGTACGCCGAGATTCCATACCTACATCGTAGAACTACAAATATTGAGGAGCAGGCTGGCGAGACAGTGTCGCTTCACTGACATAGTCCCCTAGGACAGCCACCTCCTCCCCCTTTTTAAGGCTTTCTCGGCTGACTTAGAAAATATGTTGAGATAGATAAAGAAGAAAAAAGTCGCAACCGTGGCAAGACTTTCCTTCCAGGCTGTTATTTTCCCATAGCATCTACTGGTACAGCAGTTAAAGGGAGAAGGCAAACGAGGAGGGAATGGAGAAGGAAGGAAGGAAAAGAAGGAAGGAGGAAGAAAAAAGAAAGAGAAGGGAGGTTCGCGGTTGACAAGTATCCTGAGAGGAACTACTCCATCTCATCTACGTGTACACCCCCACTATTGAGCTGCCTGTTTGAGCTCATACCCTCTTTATTCACGGCATACTGTTGTATTCTGCATCAATAGGAATACCCCAGAAGAATACAGATACACAAAATCGTAGATATTGCTCCCATATTGTAGATAAGAGAATGGAAATCAGGTATTAGTTATTTGAGGTGCTGTCACGCATACTACAGCCATACCTCGTTCCACTTTAACTGTTTTCGCAGGTAGTGTGTATTTCAAAAAATATACAGCGGTTTGTGGCAGCTATCCGATGTAAAATTTTATCCTTCCGAGCGAGCCTAATTCAACCAACCCGGGAGAAAGGGATTGTTCGATCAGGTGTGAGCAGGGATGCCACATCTGTTGCTACACACCCGCCACATTTGGGAGACTGTTGGGCTTGTGGAGGGTGGGGTGCATTTTGCTAGTTCGCTATCCTGTTAACTAAACAGGTCTCACTTCGGTAACATTTGTGAAGCGAAGGTGATAACTTTACGTTCCAACCAAGCTGAACTGCGCCAGGGATTTAATGCAAGAACTTACGATCGGTGGCAGCGCCATTCGCCGCTGCTCCACTCTGGATATTCTATTGATTCAAAAACAATATTGTTTAGTCAACGTCAAAGGTTCACCTGCAGAATGTAGAATCCGTATCGCCGTTTGAATTTGAGTTCTACAGTGAGTCGATACCATTCTCCAGCTTTATAGGACTGTAAATGAATAATGGGTACTGTCAAGGCTGGACGAAAATTCTTGCTGAAAGATTTTGTACTGATTTTCCTTTCATTAAGCGAGACTCTGGTCTACAAGGTCCAACGAAGTATTGAATTGTTGCTCTCTAAAGGATACATTA